GCATAAAAATTGAGGGACTAGATACATTTTAAAGTCACCCATAAATTCTTGATGACTTTAGGTGACACGCACCATACCAACACCAGGTTTTATTTGTAAAGATAAATGACCTTTTTGGTGGTAAGAATATCTATCACAACTGATAATGTCACTAAATTCATCAGTTCCATGAATTTTGTATTTTTTTATACAAGGTTTTCTGCCACATTGATAATTATTAAAGGGGCATTTCACTGCAATAGCTGCAAGGTACTCACTAAATAAAAAAAAAAGGAAAATAATCATTAGTTATTTAACTATTTCGACTAAAATAATAGGTTAATAATTTCTCTTCAACAAATAACATTACTCCTTACATTTGAGTAGTAACATGTCTTTGTCTTTCGGAAGGAATGTTTGAATTAAGATTCAAAATAAATTGGTCATTTTCAAGATTTACTGTCTTATGATATGCATTTAATATTTCATTACCAGCAAGTGGACATACTTTTACGTCTTAACTATTTTTTTAACTGGAACATATGATTTTCAACCACACAATTCAATACAATCACACATGATGATGACCAGTTCACTTTGAATTTTATAACTTGCACAAAGAATTTTTGGAATAGAATTGTAGAAGAAACTGATTTCATCAACAAATTTAACTCTAAAAAAAGAAAATGCAAGGAGTCAGATTAGCAACTTGGAGTGGAATTGGAAATGGATAAAAATTTATATATAAATATCTTATCATTTTATTCTTACTCTTATCATTTATTCTTACTCTTATCATTTATTCTTACTCTTATCATTTATTCTTACTCTTATCATTTATTCTTGCTATTATATTTTATTTTAACTTAAACGATCATTGAATTTATATAAAATCAATTATTTTTATTAAACAAATTTCGCGCACATGCACTTTTTTTGTGAAAAATTAAATTAAATTGAATTTTCTGGATACTTCATAAATTGCACCTTTCACCAATTTGTCAACAGGCAAAAGTTTTTTTATAAAATGCAGTTAGGTAGGTAGAGATTAAAAATGATTATTATTTTCTACTCTTGCAATGGCATTAGCTTCCTTTAATTGGTGGTCTGTCGTTCAACTATTAGTCTTAGTATTATTATGAAAAATTCAGGTAAAATAATTATAGGAAAATTTGATCTCGAAAATTTATCCATTAAACCCAAATCTTCTAAACTGAGGTCCGCTAAACTGAGACTCGCTATGTACTTTTAACAACCATAATTAATCCAGAATCACAATAATGACTACCATTGTCAAAATATTCCTATTCATTAAAATACAAATGCACTAAACCAACCATCTTGTTTATAATATTTCCCTGTTAAATCGTCCCCTGATGGCCAAGATTATGATGCAATCGAAAATTTATGAAGACTGGTTTTGAAATTGCATTCAGGTTCCTTTTTTTAAAAGACCTACTTAAACCTTAACTTTGTTCAGCGAGTCCTATTCAAATAATAATTCAGACGATTCAACAATAAGCCAAAATTACATCAAGAAAAAGACTTCCCTCACCCTAAAAACGTTGTTACACATTATGAAAACATATAAAAATTCGTTGAAACGCGATTAGTAACCTTGTTTCAACGAATGTTGAATAAAATTTTCTTATATGCCCAGCCACTTCGTTGAAACAAGGGCAGACTGTAATAAGATTTATATAGGATTATTTACATTGTATATATTCAGATGAAATGGTCTTTTATTTTAGTTTATATAAAAAAATTTATTCATAATAATAAATTGATTAAAAAAAAATCATTTATCATTTCCTGGAGCCAACTCTAGTTTGTTTAATTTCTTTTTGTATTTGAGTTCTTTCATTTTAAGATCTAATTCATACTCTTTGATCTTCAATTTTCTTTCTTCTAAGCTTATATGATGCTCTTCACTCTGTTTTAGTTGTAATGATTTTTCACTTGTTGATAGTTGATCATCATTGATGAATATTATTTTATCATTATCTCCAGTTTGTGGTTGTGACCTTTTTTGTTTTTTCTTTAGGTTCTGAGATATGGATGATTTAGTAGATCTTTTTGTATTTGAAATTTTTCTATTACTATTAATTCTCCTAGAAAGAATAATTTTATCTTTACTACTCATTGTCACACCTATATTATTGTGAACTTCAAATCTTTTATACATATTTTCATCATATTTCCAACCTCTTATGTGTGAGGAAAAAAAATTATACAATGTATTAATTATTATATTAATATGAACACTTACTTCAAAATTGCTGATTTTAGCTTTAAATTCTTTCCTATTTGGTTTACATTTGTGTGTCAGATTCTGCATAATTTGTATCAAAAGGTGTACTATTCCAAATCTCCTCTGGGACCAATGAATAATTAACATTTAATGAAGCTAAAATCCAAGTTTTTTTGTAAGATTTAACCAACCTATTAATGAAATTAAAAAAATCAATTAATATTGTGTTAAAAATTATTTTGAATGAACAATAAATTGACTTACTATCAATACCCAATTCACTTGTTTTTCTAAATTACTTAAAATTTCATCCACCTTTTCTTGTAAACTAGCACTCAAAATATTGTACATGAGGCTCTTAGTATTTCAGAATAATGATTATTCCTCATGTTCCTCTTGAAGTATACTTGGCAAGATTTGAAAACATTTCTCAGATGTTCTTTTCCTTTTCTAGATGGATCAATTTTTTTCAATGCTTTGCCAAGTCCTCAAGCTTGAGCAATATCCATATATGCCAAAACATAGGCCCATCCAGTTTTATGAATGTGATAAAATTTGGTTGGACACCTGTTAATTTATTAATGCCTTCAAAAAAAGCTTCAAACATTCTAGCATATGCAATTTTTGTTGCTATATTGGTAAAAATTCTACAAAAGGTCACGACTAAAACCAAATAAAAATAACTACTTAAATTATATGGAAGAATAAAAGAATTATATGTTAAAAGCAAAAAACAGAACTACTTACTACTATTATGGCCTTCATCATATGCATTAAATTCAAGTTCATTAATATTCCCATGAACCCTTTTGAAAGAAAGATCAACTTCAAAATAATTAAATTGTGTAGATTTAAAGGCTTGCTCTCAGGTCATGCAGCAAACCATTAGATGGCCATCATTAAACAAACCTTGAAATAATAAAAATAAATATTAAATAGAATTCATCTTGAAAGTTAATAAAAATTAAGTCATCAAACTCACTAATATTTTGAATATAATCCTTTAAATCTAAACCATTTTTATTTGTTGTATAATCATGTAAAAGTCCCAACAATCCTTGTCCATGGGGGTTGTTCTCTTTTTGTACACAGTTTATCATATATCTCAATTTATCTATATTGTTTACACTAGAATGGACTTCTGCAATGAAGTCAGATCCAAAAACAGATTTTATTAAATGACCTGTCAATAATTGATTTGCCTTAATTTCCACAATTTGAGATTCTAAGTCTTGGATTAAAGCTTTCAATTTATCTTTTATAAATGATGGAACTTTGATAGGTGGTGGCGGTGGGTGGTTGTGAATTCCTTGAGATACTAATACAATATATGGAAACTTCTCCAAATCATGAGGTGTAAATATTTTATAGTAAACACTACAACTTTTCCTTATTAACTGCATCCTTTGGGTTCTTCCCTGGTAAACATGCAGATGTGGATAATATTAGATTTTACTGTGTGAAGAAACAATAGTAGTGCAATTAGTGTCATTGTTTTTATCAGAGATATGTTCATCATTACCAAATAATGTTCTTAATAATTTGATACCAACACCAGGTTTTATTTGTAAAGATAAATGACCTTTTTGGTGGTAAGAATATCTATCACAGCTGATAAAGTCACTAAATTCATCAGTTCCATGAATTTTGTATTTTTTAATACAAGGTTTTCTGTCACATTGATAATTATTAAAGGGGCATTTCACTGCAATAGCTGCAAGGTACTCACTAAATAAAAAAGGAAAATAATCTTTAGTTATTTAACTATTTTGGCTAAAATAATATGTTAATAATTTCTCTTCAACAAATAACATTACTCCTTACATTTGAGTAGTAACATGTCTTTGTCTTTTGGAAGGAATGTTTGAATTAAGATTCGAAATAAATTGGTTGTTTTCAAGATTTACTGTCTTATGATATGCATTTAATATTTCATTACCAGCAAGTGGACATACTTTTACGTCTTAACTATTTTTTTAACTGGAACATATGATTTTCATGTTTTATCTTCAGGATTAATACCAAAATAAGGACATCCTACTTTAGAACTTCCACCACTAGGCTCGTCCATACTATTGGCACTTGGAAAAGAAAATAAATAAAACAAAACAAATTGATTAATTGATTGATTAGAAATACTGTGTCAGTTTGAATAGGAATACTGAGTTTTTAATTACATCGTTTGTTACAGAGGAGACATCATTCCATTCTTTGACATAAAATATATAAGCAATTGCTTCATTTGATATTTCAGGATATTCTATTGGCATTATTGTATGTTTTACATCTTTAATTTTAGTATCGTGAGAGAACAGAGCAAATATGCCATCTTTGTCATCGGAATTAAAACCACCATTGTCATTATTATCCTTATTATCTTTATCACAAACACTACTATCACTTTCATCATCACAATCACAATCAACATCACCATTGCCAATATCATCTATATCTAAATTAAATTCTTTTCCATTAAGATTTTCACTACCATTTGTCACAGTGCTTAACAACTCAAGTTCCTAAATAATAGTATTTAATAGAATTGAATGAAGGAATTTTTCCCTTTTAATATTTTATTTTAATCATTAATAATAGTAAGAAATTATATATTACATTTGGATCTTCTTCAAAGTCATCATCATCAATAAATTTGATATTAAAGTTAAAGCTCTATAATGGATTTTTCTATAATAATAACGGACAAAAAATTCTGGCCCAATTTTTTACTATTAATATATGATCAATATCTGTAGGCGATGCTGTGAGAACTTCTCTTGGTCCCAAGGGCATGGACAAGATGGTACAAGGGGAAAAATCTAATAAAAATAATGACTTGAAAAATTTAAATATTTAGTACAAATTTTTATTACTCGTTAGATTAAAAGCTTGTTTAAAATATTTTTCTTAGATACAAACAGGCAGTGGTGAAGTTGTTATGACTAATGATGGGGCAACTATTTTAAAACATATGGCAGTCTTACACCCTGCAGCAAGGATGGCAAGTTTAATTGATTAATTGATAAAAAAACCAAATCCAGAAAGAAATCATTTATTGATTTTTTATTATTATTTATTAGCTTGTTGTTTTGTCTGCAGCACAGGATGTTGAAGCTGGTGATGGTACTACATCAGTTGTTGTGATTGCTGGAGCTCTTTGGGAGTAGCTGAGAAAATGCTTGCTAAAGGTACTTATAGCATATGTCTATAACGTTAAGAGCATAACGCATACATATACATTTAATGTTATTTGATCACTTATAGTATTTCCTAAAAATTCTAGGAATACATCCAACAACTATTGCTGAAGTTTTCCAACGTGCTGCAACAAAATCATCTGAATTTTTAACGGAAATGTCAACTCAAATTGATTTGTCTGATCGAAATTCTTTATTAAGGGCTGCAAGCACATCTTTAAATTCAAAGGTATAAACAATTACAACAACTAATAATACATTACATTAAATAAATTAGCTCTTTAACAAATGATATGTTTTATTAATTGAAATGATATACTTATATATATATATTTAGATTGTTTCTCAACATTCAAGTCTTCTTGCACCTATTGCTGTAGATTCTGTATTACGTGTTATTGATTCCGTAACAGCAACCAATGTTGATTTAAGAGATATCCGTATAGTTAAAAAAGTTGGTGGAACAATTGATGATACAGAGTTGGTTGATGGACTTGTTTTGACCCAAAATGTTGTTAAAGATTCAGGGGGTCCTTCACGTATTGAAAAAGCAAAAATTGGTCTTATTCAATTCCAATTATCACCACCAAAACCAGATGTGAGTATATTATTATGATTAATTTTTTTGAAGAATTAAATTAATTATATAATATATATGTTTTAAAAAATTATGATTAGATGGAAAATCAAATAGTGGTAAATGATTATATACTTATGGACAAAATTTTAAAAGAAGAACGCCAATATCTTCTTAATATGTGTAAAAAAATTAAAAAAACAGGCTGTAATGTTTTACTGATACAAAAATCAATTATACGTGACGCAGTGAATGATTTATCTTTACATTTTCTATCGAAATTAAAAATATTGGTTGTAAAGGATATAGAAAGAGATGAAGTTGAATTTATTTGTAAGAGTACCGGGTGTAAGCCAATTGCAGACATTGAATCATTTACTGAGGATAAATTGGGTTATGCAGAATTGGTTGATGAAGTACAAACTTCTGGTGCTAGGGTTGTTAAGATTACAGGAGTTAAACATAACGGAAAAACTGTATCAATTTTAAGTCGTGGAGCTAATTCACTTGTGTTAGAAGAGGCTGGACGTTCATTACATGATGCACTTTGTGTTATTCGTTGTTTGGTTAAGAAAAAGTAAGAGAAAAATGTGTATATATAATCTAATACAACAACATAATGAATCAAGGCATGTATATGACTAATAACAAAATTCAAATTTTCTATATCTTACAGTGCTCTTATTGCTGGTGGAGGTGCTCCTGAAATCGAAGTTTCTCAAAGTTTGTCTGATTATGCTAAATCACTTAAAGGAATGGAAGCACATTGTTTTGAAGCATTTGCAACTGCGCTTGAAGTTATTCCATTAACTTTAGCTGAAATGCAGGTTTAAATCCAATTAATATAGTTACTGAGTTAAGAAATAGACATGCCTTGGGTGAAAAAACAGCTGGTATTAATGTGAGAAAGGTAATTTGAATGTCTGTTTTTTTAACAATGAATTATAATGAATTAGTAAAAATCAAAATCATAAGGTAATAAATAATAATAATAATAAAATTGAACAATAGGGTTCAATTACAAATATTCTTGAAGAAAATGTTATACAGCCATTACTTGTATCTACTAGTGCTATAGAGTTGGCTTCAGAAACTGTTAAAATGATATTAAAAATTGATGATTTGGTAAGATTATTATTGAGTTATGATTAATTTTTTTATTGGAAATAATTTAACTTATTTGTTTTTATATTCAAATAGGTTCAAACTCATTAAGTATTTATTTGCTGTTTTTTTTTCTTTTTTTTAAAATAATAAAAAATAAAATGGGTTATAAACAATTTATTTATAAAATACAGAATATAAGATTTTTTAATTTTAATTTCTAAGGCCAACTTATATTTATGAAATATATATATATTAATTAATTATTTATTTATTTGTTAAATAATAATGATGATGATATTAACAACTTCTTGCATTCGAATATCAAATAAATAAAATCTTTGCCAAGACTCCCCTCTTATTAAGGCCTGTTCAATAGAAACAAGGTTAAGTGTTGCCCAAAAGTCAATTTTCAGTTAGTATCACATTTTAATAAAATTTTAAAAAACAATAGTAAATAATAGGGCATGGGCAATAGAAATGAGGATAACTATAAGCATCGTGATTTTGAGTTAATAATGCTTCTATATGCAATTTATCACAAGGATTAATTTTAGCTTAGAAATCATACCCCACTTTACATAATATATTCCATTAAAATGTAGATCTTTTATTGATTTTCTCGTAACACGATTTCCTCGTTTCTATTGCCAATCAAATAATAATAATAATAATTCAATTTTTTGTTATTAAATCCGTTTACAATTCTGACGTTCTCAAGTATATATTCTATTACTCAAATATAATATCCACCGATTTAAAGAACAAATTCCATTCATAATTTCAAATAATTTACATCTTTATTTTAATTTTCAATTTTAATCTCTATAATTGTGCCATGTGACTATATGCAAGCAAAACATCAATTTTTTTGAGTTTCAACAAATCCAGGAAAACATTCTTCTAACCTTTTGCTATGTTTTGAATTTTGTATTTTTTAATACAAGGTTTTCTGTCACATTGATAATTATTAAAGGGGCATTTCACTGCAATAGCTGCAAGGTACTCACTAAATAAAAAAGGAAAATAATCTTTAGTTATTTAACTATTTTGGCTAAAATAATATGTTAATAATTTCTCTTCAACAAATAACATTACTCCTTACATTTGAGTAGTAACATGTCTTTGTCTTTTGGAAGGAATGTTTGAATTAAGATTCGAAATAAATTGGTTGTTTTCAAGATTTACTGTCTTATGATATGCATTTAATATTTCATTACCAGCAAGTGGACATACTTTTACATCTTAACTATTTTTTTAACTGGAACATATGATTTTTGTGTTTTATCTTCAGGATTAATACCAAAATAAGGACATTCTACTTTAGAACTTCCACCACTAGGCTTGCCCATACTATTGGCACTTGGAAAAGAAAATAAATAAAACAAAACAAATTGATTAATTGATTGATTAGAAATACTGTCAGTTTGAATAGGAATACTGAGTTTTTAATTACATCATTTGTTACAGAGGAGACATCATTCCATTCTTTGACATAAAGTATATAAGCAATTCCTTCATTTGATGTTTCAGGATATTCTATTGGCATTATTGTATGTTTTACATCTTTAATTTTAGTATCCTGAGAGAACAGAGCAAATATGCCATCTTTGTCATTGGAATTAAAACCACCATTGTCATTATTATCCTTATTATCTTTATCACAAACACTACTACCACTTTTACCATCACCATCACAATCACTCACAATCAACATCACCCTTGCCAATATCATCTATATCTAAATTAAATTCTTTTCCATTGAGATTTTCACTACCATTTGTCACAGTGCTTAATGACTCAAGTTCCTAAATAATAATATTTAATAGAATTGAATGAAGGAATTTTTCCCTTTTAATATTTTATTTTAATCATTAATAATAGTAAGAAATTATATATTACATTTGGATCTTCTTCAAAGTCATCATCATCAATAAATTTGATATTAAAGTTAAAGCTCTATAATGGATTTTTCTATAATAATAACGGACAAAAAATTCTGGCCCAATTTTTTACTATTAATATATGATCAATATCTGTAGGCGATGCTGTGAGAACTTCTCTTGGTCCCAAGGGCATGGACAAGATGGTACAAGGGGAAAAATCTAATAAAAATAATGACTTGAAAAATTTAAATATTTAGTACAAATTTTTATTACTCGTTAGATTAAAAGCTTGTTTAAAATATTTTTCTTAGATACAAACAGGCAGTGGTGAAGTTGTTATGACTAATGATGGGGCAACTATTTTAAAACATATGGCAGTCTTACACCCTGCAGCAAGGATGGCAAGTTTAATTGATTAATTGATAAAAAAACCAAATCCAGAAAGAAATCATTTATTGATTTTTTATTATTATTTATTAGCTTGTTGTTTTGTCTGCAGCACAGGATGTTGAAGCTGGTGATGGTACTACATCAGTTGTTGTGATTGCTGGAGCTCTTTGGGAGTAGCTGAGAAAATGCTTGCTAAAGGTACTTATAGCATATGTCTATAACGTTAAGAGCATAACGCATACATATACATTTAATGTTATTTGATCACTTATAGTATTTCCTAAAAATTCTAGGAATACATCCAACAACTATTGCTGAAGTTTTCCAACGTGCTGCAACAAAATCATCTGAATTTTTAACGGAAATGTCAACTCAAATTGATTTGTCTGATCGAAATTCTTTATTAAGGGCTGCAAGCACATCTTTAAATTCAAAGGTATAAACAATTACAACAACTAATAATACATTACATTAAATAAATTAGCTCTTTAACAAATGATATGTTTTATTAATTGAAATGATATACTTATATATATATATTTAGATTGTTTCTCAACATTCAAGTCTTCTTGCACCTATTGCTGTAGATTCTGTATTACGTGTTATTGATTCCGTAACAGCAACCAATGTTGATTTAAGAGATATCCGTATAGTTAAAAAAGTTGGTGGAACAATTGATGATACAGAGTTGGTTGATGGACTTGTTTTGACCCAAAATGTTGTTAAAGATTCAGGGGGTCCTTCACGTATTGAAAAAGCAAAAATTGGTCTTATTCAATTCCAATTATCACCACCAAAACCAGATGTGAGTATATTATTATGATTAATTTTTTTGAAGAATTAAATTAATTATATAATATATATGTTTTAAAAAATTATGATTAGATGGAAAATCAAATAGTGGTAAATGATTATATACTTATGGACAAAATTTTAAAAGAAGAACGCCAATATCTTCTTAATATGTGTAAAAAAATTAAAAAAACAGGCTGTAATGTTTTACTGATACAAAAATCAATTATACGTGACGCAGTGAATGATTTATCTTTACATTTTCTATCGAAATTAAAAATATTGGTTGTAAAGGATATAGAAAGAGATGAAGTTGAATTTATTTGTAAGAGTACCGGGTGTAAGCCAATTGCAGACATTGAATCATTTACTGAGGATAAATTGGGTTATGCAGAATTGGTTGATGAAGTACAAACTTCTGGTGCTAGGGTTGTTAAGATTACAGGAGTTAAACATAACGGAAAAACTGTATCAATTTTAAGTCGTGGAGCTAATTCACTTGTGTTAGAAGAGGCTGGACGTTCATTACA